TGTTAAGTTTCTTTGTTTGCTGGCAAGAGGCACATCAATTGAGGAAATGCCTCCATCAGATTGGCAGTGTGTGGGGCGTTTTCTTGATTGATAATTGATATAGGGCCACAGCTCACTGGGGTCTGAGCCATTCCTGGCAGGTGGTGCTGGGTTCTAAAGAAAGCGGGCTTATCAAGCCAAAGGGAGCAAGCCAGGTAGCAGCACTCTTCCATGGCTATCAGTTCCTGCTTGAGTCCCTGCCTTGACTTCCCTTCAAGATGACGGTAAACTATAAGCTGAGATAAACCCTTTCCTCCCCAAGTTGCTTTTAGTCATGGTGTTTATCACAGCAATAATGCAAACTAAGACACCATCTGAGTGGTAGAAACATCTAGAAAGGAGGGGAACTTGACGGAATTAGGTGACAGAAGCTGCGAAAGTAAATGGAAAGGAGGTGATGTTTTTGTTGTTTTGTTTTGTTTTTTCTTCATGGTGCTAATGAGTATAAAGTTTCAGTTCCCTTGTTTTCTTGGACCCCTTTTAAAAGCCTGGGTGTGGCTGCTATTTTGTGTTGTTTTTCTTAGAGGTACCTGCCAGTTGTGTAAGCTTAGACACTCCACTCCCCCATATATAGCTTTGGCTATGAACCATGTTGTGGGTTCCTCCGTGGGATTTCATTTGGGAGCCCTGGGGAACTGCCGAGTGGAAGGAAATGGGATGTCACAGCCTATAAGCTGCCAGTTGCCTGGCATTCAGGGTATTTGCTCAGGCCCCTCTCTGTGTTTAAGCAGTCTCACAGAGCATGCCCAGATAGATGTGTGGACAAGCCAATGCAGGCCTTTCTGCTGAAGGGGTGTGATGGGGCTCACCCATCGCCTCCAACAATTTGGGGAATCTAAGGCACGAGCTGCCTTCCTGTCGCCCAGACCCAGCTGACACAGCCTCCAGGCTAAGGAGATTAAGCAGGCTTTATTTACAGAGGCCTTCTAGTGACAGCAGAGGCCACCACACCCAGGTAGAACCTGGGAAGAAAGGGAAAACACATTCTTCCCTTGTCGCTGCTGAATGCCAGGGCAAAGGCTACATCCGCAGTGAGGATTAGCCAGGTACTGGGAGGCCTGGATGAGGCTGCCCTCCACATTGTCAGTCTGCATCACTGGGAGAGAGATCCCAGAGCAGAGCCCCGAGGGCCTCTAGACAGGGCTGTGTGCACGGGAAATGTATGCATGCATGCATGCATGAATAAAAGAGGATGATCAATGCTCCATCCATTGAATGTGTGTTTTACTGCTTCTCCAGTTCTCATTTTGGCAAGAAAAGAAACACTTTTATTTTTATTTTATTTTATTTTATTTTATTTGGGGATGCTCAGGATGAACTCAAGGCTTTGTGCATGTGAGGCCATTGATCATCAAAGCTACATGCCCAGCTTTGGAGCATGTCTGATACGACGGTCAAAAGACATCTGCAGGAGAGGATTGGATTCTCTCCTTCCATGATGCTGGTCCCAGGGACCAAACTCAGGTCAGCAGCCTTTACAGCAAGTGCCCCCGTCACCCACTGAGACATTTTGTTGACTCTCTACATAAGTTTGAATGAAAATGACTGTTATATGAAGCAGGGTGCATCTTAGGTGTGGAACATTTCTCCAAGTCCACACAAAAGAAATTACCTGCCTGCCCCTCTCCCCACATTCCTCTTGTCCGTGTGTTCATGGAAATGCTGCATGTACATACCTTGTGGAAAGATGAGCTGTGTTAACAACGGATGCACATGCTCTCTGCAGCCATACCCTCTGGGTTCAGGTTTTATTGGCAATAACAGAATGTCCTGGGACAAGTTCGGGAACCTTTCAGAATTTCAGCGAGGTAAGGTGCCAATACCACCCACCTCACAGGGCTTGTGAAGATTAATGAAGGTATTGTGATAAGCTATGAAAATGTAAGGGGTGGCCTGGGAGATGACTCGGTGCTCGGTGGGTAAAGTGCTTGCTCTGCAAGCGTAAGGGCTTGATTTGGGATCTCCAGGACCCATGGAAAGCTGGACAGTGTCATCCATGTGTTGGGGAAAAAATCCCACTGTTCCTATGGCAACATGGAAGGGAGAGGTGGGAATCCCTGGAAGCAGCTGGTCCAGTCAAACTCACGGTGAACAAGACCCTTCTTCAATAGTGAAAAACTGCTCTCTCTCTCTCTCTCTCTCTCTCTCTCTCTCTCTCTCTCTCTCTCTCTCTCTCTCTCTCTCTCACACACACACACACACACACACACACACAAATAATGACAAAGTGTTAGAGTAGGAAAACTCTTGGACAAGATGGGCTTGGCTAAGGAACCATCCCTAGAAAGGCAGGTTCACCTTAAAATATGCTTAAGAGTGAGACAGAATAACTACTCCTTTAAGGACACATTTCAGTTTTCCTTTCCTGAATCCCCTCAGCACCACAGCTTACCAGGCCACAGCCATGTAGTTCTGTAAGCTCACCAGCTTTTCTGAGTTATTCAGAGAAGTGTAACGTCTCCTTTGCCTCTTTTCTAGGCATGTTTTCCTCCCGCTTTGGTTTGCAGCATTCTGGGCTTCCTTACTCTTTTTCTCAAGTCTCCCTCAATGCCCTGCCGTGTGGCTGCTGCTTGCCATGTGTGTGACCTCTGTGACAGTTCAAATGGCACAGCTCTTTCCTGTTCTCCTTCATTCTCCTCCAGAGAGCTGTTGCGATTTACAGTCCCTGGCAGTTTTTCTTTTTAAATGCTAATAAATGTGTCTTCGAGCTGCTGTTTGAGTTCATTCTTAAATTTTTAACTAATGAGAATAAGAACTCCCCAAAGGGAATCTGATTCCCTGGTATCAAAGGATTCCTGCGACCTAGGTCACCCTAGAACTAAGGAATTCCAAACTCTGGCCACTCAAGGAGATAGAAAAGGACATCACTTATTCACACCTGGCTGAGTGAAGCTTTGTGACAAACATTTCTGTAGCAGAAATTGCTAAACTTTCAGAGAGAGATAAAATGAAGCTAGAACTTCTCGGAGGAGCTGCTCTCAACAGTCACTGAGATGCCCTGCCTCGAAGCATCTTTTCATTCTCCTGTCTCAGCTCCCCATCCCTGCAAAGCTACGAGTGCCGACTCTTCACCCATCTTTTTCTGATCCCTGCTCTGAAAGCCACTCATTTTCCTGGGTGTCTCCTGTCATGTCACTGTTGGAAGCCACTCGTTTTCCTGGGTGTCTGCTGTCATGTTACTGTTGGCCTCACCATCCAAGCTGTGGAGCTGATAGGTCACTCCTGTGTGAGAAAGCTAGCCTGCCACCCCACAGGTTGGTGCAGGGGCTCAGCGCCTTTCATGGTGCTCGAAAGACCTGGAGAAAGGCAAAGGCTGCTAAACCACTCAGTAGCTTTGACTCTTTTTTTTAATATTTTAATTTTAAATAGCTTGTTTTACATGTCAATCCCAGTTCCCTCTCCCTCCCCTCCTCCCGCACCCCCCATCCCCCCATCCTCTCACCCTATTGCCAATTCCTTCCACATAGAGGATATCCAGAGTCTGTCATTTCACTCAGGGTAGGTCCAGGCACTCCCCTAAGAGTCCAGGCTGAGAGAGCATCCCTCTTTGTGCTATGGACACATGATGTCTGTTAGTATTCGAGGGATAAACACTGATCCACTGCTCAGGACCCCATAGGTTGCCCAGGCCTCCTCACTGACTCTTGATTTGTCTGATTTGGTAGGTTCCAATAGGGCTGAAACTTGAAGAAGTTCAAGGTCGTGGGTACTAGATCCAGGGGTTGAGTCAAGGTCAGATATTTTATGGAGATTTACTTTCCTTTACCTGGCTTCCCATCTGTTCTCTCTTCCAGCAACCTGGAGCTACACTTAATCCTTCCTTATTTTCTTTCTTTTAAAATTTGTTTTTAGAGAGACTTTTTCTATGTAGCTCAGGTTGTTCTGGAACTCACTGTGTCTACCAGTCTGACCTTGAACTCACAGAGATCTGCCTTCCTCTGTTTCTGGAGTGCTTGAATCAAAGGCTTGTTCACTTGGAGAGAGAGAGAGAGAGAGAGAGAGAGAGAGAGAGAGAGAGAGAGAGAGAGAGAGAGAGAGAGAGACAGAGACAGAGAGAGAGAGAGAGAGAGAGAGAGAACACATTTTGACTTGGGCTTGCTCTCAGGAACCTACCCCTCTCATACATGGTCATAATTCAGAATCTGATACAAGGTGAGGAAGAAACACTTCTATTATTTTTTGATACCAAATAGCTGTGTGGTCTGTGGTAAGTTGCCTCATATACCTCTGGTTCAGTGGTTCTCAGTCTTCCTAATGCTGTGACTCTTTAATACAGTTCCTCATGTGCTACTTCATAACTGTAGTTTTGCTACCGTTATGAGTCATAACATAGTATCTACTCTGCAGATGGTTTTAGGTGACTCCTCTGAAAGGGGGCATTCACGACCCACTGGTTGAAAGCTGCTGCTCTAGTTCTTGATTTGTCTACTTCGTTTGGAACAATATGAGGTTGACAACACTTATTCTTGGTTCAAAGATCAATGAGTCCTATGCTCTACTGAACTAAAGTAAAGTGAGTCCCTTCGAATTTCTCCAAGTTTTTCGAGGCATGTGACTATCTCTCACAACAAAGGAAGGTAGAAAAATGCAAAGAGGACAACATGACCAGCCTTGGGCAAGTCTTAGCAGCTCAGAATACTGGGGTACAGGTAGCCCCAAGGCAGAGCCTAGACTGACTTGCCCTGGGAAACAGAGAACTCTTTCATTATGCTCGAGTTTCCAGAGGACTTGAGCCAGAGAGCACAGCTGCCTGTGATAAAAACTATATGAAGAGTTTGAATAATGGCCGAACTCACTCATTTCCCTCTTCTGTTAATTCAGCAAATATGTCACTATCACCATCACATTTGGACTAGAACTATGGCTGTAGAACAGGAAGAATCATAACCCAAGTTCTTTTTTTTAAAGGTTTATTTATTTATTATGCATACAGTGTTCTGTCTACATGTATGTCCACAGGCCAGAAGAGGGCACCGATCTCATTACAGATGGCTGTGAGCCACCATGTGGTTGCTGGGAATTGAACTCAAGACCTCTAGAAGAGCAGTCAATGCTCTTAACCTCTGAGCCATCTCTCCAGGCCCATAACCCGAGTTCTTAAGGTGCTCATGGGCTAGAAGATGAGCCATGAAGACAAAACAGTCTTCATTTGTAGCAGAGTCTAGGAAATGGGGTGAGATATCAATAAACACATAAGATTCCACTATAGTGCTCAATGCTGACCTTGGAAAACAGGAGAGTCTCACAGATCTGTACTGATGAAGAGAAGGAGCAGAGGTCTAACCACAGGACTCTCGGGATGCAAGGCTGCAAGTGAGTAGGATCTTAAGGATCTTAGGCAGTATTTGCTAGAAAAAAGGGATCATGGACAATCTTGAACATCTGGGCTATTCAGCTTCGGAGAAAAGTGGTGTCCCAGTCCCAGGCTGATTTTCTCACCATCCCTCATCCCTGGCCTAGAGCATTGTCTTGCAAATGTGACCTTCTAACAGGAGGGTCCAGAGAAGGGTGGATGACGTGGGCTCCTCAACAAAGCAAAACAAACTTGGATTCTTCAAGGGATGGTGTTGTGGGTGATGCTGTAGACAATTCTTTCTACAGGTTCCTCAGTGACCCGTTGAGTTTAGAAAACATTCCACTGACCTCTAGTGGTCAAAATGGCGTCCAAACTGCCCCAGTGTCTCCACTCCGCAAGTCCAGCTGAGAGACTCTTTTCTCTGCTGTTCTCCCCTTCTCTCCGTGGGCTTTCCTTCCCCTAACCAGATTACCCACACTCACTCTTAAGTGAGGGTGCCTTGGGGTGGTTACCGCCCCCTGAAGCTGTTCCTAGATCCTGGCTGTCAGTGGAGAATAAACAGATACTGAGAGTCTGTATCCCGCTGAAGGCTGCTGGGGACCGCGCCCTAATCTCGATCACACTGCCTCATGGTATTTGTGACGTGCCAGATGCCATTCCAAGCCACTTTAAAAACAAACAAACAAACAAACAAAAACTCTTGAGAGCAGATAACTGTGGTTAGCCCTCTATTTAAAGATGGGGACTTGGAGGCTCCAGAGGATGAAGTCACCAGCTCAAGAGGGTAAAGCACACTGTAACAGATCAAATATATAAGCAGCAGCATGCTGAAGCTCTTCGACACCACAGGATCCCAACCCCGCCACACACACCAGAATGTCTCTCCTTAATATTGCTCCATTTTTGGTAAAATTTAAAATGCCGGGTAAGTGTCCTATTACTGAGAGATACATCTCCATTTTTTTACATTTTTATAGTACTGTCTTTTTTTTTTTTTTGAGAGTCTTACTCTGAAACCCAGGCTAGCCTCGAACTCGTGGCATGTCTCTTGCCTCAGCATCCCAAATGTGGAATTGTGAGATGTAAACCACTGTGCCTGGTGCTCATTTATTTTATTTTATTTAAGTAAGGTCTCCCTAATGCCCAGGTTCGTCTTGAACTTGCTGAGTATTCCAGGCATGCCTTAGAACTTGTGACTTTCCTTTCTCAGTCAGGATTGCAAAGGAACACCATCATGATTGGCAGTAAACCGTGATTTTAGTTTTTCACAGCAGATTCACCACCACCACTCTTGTCTTATTAGCTCTAACTGCTCTGAATTCTACAATAAATCCAAAGAGACATGGAATTGAAATTCACTCTTCAGCTTCTTTGCACACATACCATTTGTGATCACATCCTTAGGCACCAATGAAGGGACGCAATATATGATGGAGGGCTCCCAACTTAGAAGAATTCATAGGTTAGAAAGGGACTGCTTGTGCTCAAAAGTGCAGTACTCATGTATAGAAATACACACGAGATGAGGCTGCTAAGAGAAGACTAGGCATGTCCACATCATCTCTTTGGAAAGAAAATGTCTTCCATGCCAACTTGAAGTAGTAATACCTAGCATAGAGGACTTGGACTCCATAGAGTAAGAGTTGAGTGGGTCTGTGGTTGGGGAATGCAACCCATGCCACCCACATGCAGAGGACTTGCCTGCTGCCGTGTTTAAGGTACTGCTTCCATCTCCAGAGCCCAAAGTCCAAAATTCAAAATCCAAACTCAGTGTATCTGATGTCCTGAACATTACCACACACCCTCCAACAGTTCCGGCCTGTTTCTCTGGGGTCTGTGGCTCAGAGAGGCCAGAATTTATCTAAGACTTGGGCGTCTCTGTGGATTCTGGGCCTTGACCTGCTGCACTGTTGTGTGGACACATTTTGAGCATTCCTAGCTAGAAAGGGAGAGAGAAGACAACTCATGGAGTGTTGCTAAATATCTTCTTCTTCTTACAATTTGTCCCGATTCTCGGATGGATGTTGTCTCAGCTGAACACTAACCTCACAGGTCTCTTGAGGGATAAGAGTACCAAGACACAGGCTAGACATCCAGAAAGTTGGAGTCCAGAAGGAAACAGGGTAGAGAAAAGGGAGAGTCAAGCCATAGTGTGTGTGTTGGGAAAGGGGTGCTAATGGTAGGGACACTACAATTTCTAAGTGAGATCCCACCTGGCTGAGGTCTAGATTTTGCCTGACTTCAGTTCCCTGTTGAGGAGGAATGTGCGTGCAGACCATGAACATTCATATGTAAGAGGGACCATGGGTGGAGTCTCTGGCTGAATCCATCTGTGGAGGTCAGCCCCAGTGTGACCTAGGCCTCTTCCAAAACCTGTTCAGTCAAGCTGGACTCAAGGCTGGGGGCATGTCAGGGGGCCAGATGGCAAGGCTAAAGCTAAAGCTGGGTCAGAAGCTCTGCTGATGGGCTTAGAGCCCCTGGCTGGACTTCTGCCCTTGCCCTCACCAGATCTCCCTGCTCCTGATAGGAGGAAGAGGCGGTGGCTCTGGGGAATTAGTAATGGGATACAGAGCCATTCACCTCCAGGTCACTAGTTCAAAACCAGGTCAATAGTAAGTCAAAGTTCCTGACCAGTGGAGGTGAAGCTGCCATTGCTTTTGAGTGGCTTGAAGGCAGATATTTGCCCTCCCAGAAGCCAGCTCAGGCAGGTCAGATTGGGCCACAGGGTAGGAAGCTACATCCTGCTGACACTCTGAAAAGTCAGAGGCCTTAGAGTGGGATGTGGGGTTCATCCTTCTGGCTCTGTTCTCCCCAAGACCCCTGCGTCATCGCCCCCAGGTCAGGTCACATACTCATGATGAAAGACCCCAGGTAGGGAACAATTACTCGGGTCAGACCCCATGTACTTAAGAGCTCTGTCTGTGTGAAGGTAAAGCATCCTTCTCACTCTTTCATCATAGAGAAGGCATCTGCCACGTCTCCCCGTCCACCTCCGTCTTTGTCTCATCAGTATACTATTTTTAAGCTTGATGTCTTGATCTGTCTATTACTTGAACCCTTCCACTATCATTACTTAAGTGCTCTGAAAGCAAACACCCTACCTAAGCCCCACATCTGTTAAGAATGCTCTGTAGAATGAAAAGGCAAATCAAAGAAGCCCTGAAGCTTCCATTGGATGCTGTGGTAGTGTTCTACCTGTATTTCTACCGTGTATACCAATTGTCTTTACTTGACAAAGGAAGCTTGCAAAGTCATGCTGGAAAAGCTGCACATCAGCCTATGGCGGGGGGGGGGAGAAGGATGTCACTGAGAAGGTGTGCTCCAAGTTATTAACGGAATGAATAAGTGAATAAATGAATGAATCACAGAATGAAAACTTTGAGAGATACTAGCTCCTAGAACATCAGTGATATTTTATACACTTGGAGAATTATAGAGCTTTTCTTAAACACAAAGCACAGGGTTTGGCTCAAATAGACGGTTAGGAACTTTATTTTGATCAAATGAATCACACACGTGTGTGTGTGTGTGTGTGAGTGAGTGCATGTGTGCGTGCGTATGTGTGTGTGTGTGTGTGTAGATGGATGGATAAAGTGTACAAATAGGGTAAAACATAATATACTTAAAGATAATAAATTCTTCATTTTCATCCCAAATGATAACATTTGATTTCTTTTTCTCTGACTGTATTTTTTTTTGAGACATTGTCTCACTATAGAGACCAGACTGGCTTTGAACTCACAGAGCTTGTCCTTCTAAATGCAGGTGTTAAAGACATATACTACCACACCCAACCTTTCCCTATAAATATCTGAGATTTTATTATGTAGTTAGTTTCCACTTACTTACATTCATTCGTTTAGCTATCACGTACTGCATGTGATTACAGAACAAGTAAAAATGAGTCAGATGTAATCCAGGCGCAGATCCAGTGGTGGAGTCTACTCACTGGGCAATTGCTCCATGCCAGTACTCACTGGGCAATTGCTCCATGCCAGTCAGCCTGTGTGCTGGTGTTTCTAACCACTCGTCTATCTGATCATCCATTTAACCATCCTTCCATCCATCCACCCATCCATCCATCCGCCCATATCTACCTGTTTATCCATCACCTGCCAATCATTACACGTCACTCAACCAGTACTTATTCTGCCTGTTTTAAGTCATAAGCTCCTTCTTAGTGAGATACAGAAATGGAACGATGTTATGAATCAGGACTACAATCAAATGAAAACTGAAAATCTACAGTCTCTTTGATTTGTACTGTGCCCAAACTGGCACCACTGCCCAAAGCTTTGTGAAATGCTTGAACACTATGACTGCTCATAACACTCAAAGGTGGGCTGTCAAGCTGTATTTCTCTGGGCCAAAGTTGTGTGGTCTCACAATGCCAGACAATTGCCATAGAATTTATGACTAACTACAATGTGCCAAAGACTGTGCCATGTATTTGGAGTTGATAAGTGGAATCTTGCTTCTGTCTGTGCAAAGACCTAAGTTGAAGGAAAGCCTAAAAACAAATACTGTATTCTGTGTGGCAAGCTCTATCAAATGAGTCTGTTCAGCGTCATTGTGAGTGTAGGCTTGCTTCACTGTATTTCGGGATGCTTCACAGAGAAGCCAATATTTGACATTTGGTTTGGTTGGAGAATGGAAGTGTGTGAAAATAAAGAAGAGCCCAGCTGTCAAAAGGCTCAAGATAGCCTGAGCGTCAGGGTTGCAGAGGGTTGTAGAAGTGCAAGTTATCAGCTGGGCGGTGGTGGCGCACGCCTTTAATCCCAGCACTCGGGAGGCAGAGGCAGGCGGATCTTTGTGCATTCGAGGCCAGGCTGGACCGACAGCCTCCAAAACAATACAGAGAAACCCTGTCTCGTAAAAACAAAAACAAAAAAAAAAAAAAAAAAAAAAAAGAAGTGCAAGTTATCTGTGTGGTAAGAATGTGGGGTGTGCAAAATGGACAGACGGCAATGGGACAGGTAGACAGGCATCACTTGGGCTTGTTGTTTGTCTTGATTTTGCTTCTTCGGATGCGAAGGATCAAACCCAAGGCCTCCTGCAGGCCAGGCAAGTGCTCCACCACTGAGCTCCACCCGGTTCACGTGGAACAGGCGTGTTAAAGCGCTTACCTTTGAGATTCAGGCACGAGTGCTCTTGGATATTTATGTCGGAATGGAAGCTCCCCATTTCCTACAATATGGTATGTCAGACACTCTGAAAACTGTCCTATTTCAAAGATCAGTGTAACATGAAAAATAAAAACCCAGAGACAGATACTGGGGTTCAAGCTTCAAGCTGAAGATCAGAGAAGCAAAGCAGCCAAGCCAGTAGATCTACCCAGCTGAAATGGCAGTCCTGTCTCCACAAATCCTCAGAGGCAAAAAACCTAAATTCCTGTCTCCTCCTCCTTTTATTCCTTTCTCCACCCAGTCATATCCTCCTGTCTTCACCTCTCCAAGGCTGGGGTTAAAGGCAGGAGCTCTGTTTCTCTTCACTCTCGTGTAGGCCAGGGTGGCCTTGAACTCAGAGAGATCCATCTGCCTGTCTCCTGAGTCCTGGAATTAAAGGTATGTGCCACCACTGCCTGGTTTCTACAGCTAACCAGTGTTGCTGGCTTTGTTTTCTGATCCTTCAGGCAATTGTTATTAAATCATAGATAATATATCACC